CCAGGCGGATCTGTTGGTACCTAATGGATTTTAACCGACGCGTACATTGTCCGGCGCAAATTACGCCATAAATGATCGGCGTCAAACGGAAGCGCACGGTTCTTGCTCTATATTTCTTGTGCGCCTCATTCACCTGATCGATCGCAAAAGAAAGAAAGAGACAGCAGTTTTTTGTAATATTAATCGTGTCTATACATAATAAAATTCTTAATGATAAAGTTTAAGTCGTTAAGTTTCGAATAGTCTCGGAAGTTCACTTTTTGTAGGTACGACAGTCTTGTACGGCATATGGGGCAATGTAAAAACAGATAGATAAATTACAGATGAAAATATCGCTCGGTGATATTTCTTTTTTTTTTCTTTTATAAGGTATCACGTGTTTCCTAAAATTTCTACCACCAACCCCAGACAGAGACAACATAACGAAAAGATAGTTCGGACGACCTGTTAGGGTGGTTTGCGACGATCTTGTGGAGGCTGCGGACCGAAATACGCTCGCACGGCCAATTCTCACCAATACCGAGATGCGTTCCGATGCACGTGCAACCAACCACCACCTCGGAAGATGGCCGTGCTATTTCAGGCAGACTAGCCAGTGCCATGTAGCGAATCAGGACCGTACAACACATTTAGTTCACCCTGTAGAGATTGTTCTTTTGCGGCCGTTCTATCTCGATCTTAATTTACCAACAAAACATCATTTGTAGATATCTCTCTCAGTGTTTTAAAAAGAAAGCAAAAGCATCGTCAGATAATGGCCAGCAAGCACTGACGATAAATTTTGGAACGTCAAGTTTGACGATTATCTTGCACGATATCGACGGGTAGAAACCGCGCTCCGGTTAGATTAAAGGCTCCCGTTTCGTGCTTCCTACATGACAGATATATGCCAGGATGACCCCCCCTATTCCGTGTTAAACTCGTTCTACGTTAAATCCGACTTGCGCTACCAGTAGTCTACCGGGAAATGAAATTTGTGGAGACTATCGATCGTCCCATTCGCAAAGCAGTAAGAGAAACAAATGCAAAAAAAACAAGGCCTTGCTTCACAAAACAATGCGTTATTCAAATGTATGTTAAATAGATATCATTAGGTATTTGAGCATCAAAATGGCATCTGATTCATAATTTATTTGCACGAGATTGATCCAGTCGAGGTGAACATTTTCGACAATTCCCATCGCCAGAGAATAATTAGTGCGAATTAACTTACGAAACTATTTGCTTATTGAACGATTCTTGACTAGAACACCGTCGAAAGTCGCAGCGTAGATTAGCAGGACGAGAATTAGAAGATTGATAATAATTAATCTGGGTCGTCGCTGACGGATACGCGAATCGATATATTATGGCGCGATCCACTTTTCCGCATACTTACTATGTAATGCTATTCGGTTAATGTCTCTATGGAATTTGACGGCGACTTAAGCTACGTCTATTCAAAATTCGTTAAAACCCCAAGGGACACAGGGACCACGAGACTTTTCATGCTAAACTGTCTCCACGCGACTGACAACCCGAACTGACCTCGATAACGCGAACACTCTGCGCAAAGTGGATGTCTTCTAAATCGATCCATAGATTTGCGCAGCGAACTTAAAATCATAAATCTTTTGGATAAAGAAAAAGAGGAGAAAGGGAGGCAAAGAGAAACGCTTCCAACTGTGCCAGGACAAACTCTCGAGAGCGCTCTTGAAGAAAATATCACTGCAGAGTCGCCATCATGTTAATACATATAAATAAATATATATACCAAAGTTGGAGAGCGTTACTTTTTTCGTTAGTTTTTATAATAAACATGACGTTGCAATTTTTTATAACTAAACGCTAAGGTTGTGCTAAGGTTGGAAAAGTCAACCTTTGCAAAAGTCAACCTTTACAAAAGTCAACCTTAGCATAACCTTAGCGTTTAGTTATAAAAAATTGCAACATCATCAAATTGTTTATTATAAAAAGTAACGGAAAAAATAACGCTTTCCAACTCTGATATATATACTGATATGTATACTAAAATCGAAAACTGCCCAAAGAACACACCAAGTCAAGAGAAAGTCAAAATGGTTTTATTTTAACGACATGAAAGTCAAAATGACGATTTTTGGTTACAAAATTTGACTGTTTATCGATGTTATGGATTAAAATAAAATCATTTTGATCTTTTGTTGAATTAGCGTGTTCTTTGGGTGATAGAAGACGTGATGTAGAATTTATTGCGCTTATCCTAGCGATAGACAATCGGAGGTGAAAGGAAAGAAAAAGTAATTGAGAAACTTTTATTATAATAACTCTCTTAAAAAATAAAGAAATAACTTCCTCGGTTGGCGATCTCTTTCGCGTCGTAAGAATAATTCAAGACGTAGGCATGCAACGCGCGTGCCAATCTTTCTGAGAAAATCACCGAGTAAAAACTCATTACCCCGACTCGATTCAACGAGGCAGCTCATAATGCAGAAAGATTTCGCTGTCGTGAATAGGCGGAAAGTGTAATGTTTAAACATTTATATAGCGCACACATGCTCGCGTACTTTTCACGATGGTATACAATTCGCCGGCGTACCTAAAAATTAATTGAAAACTTGCGGTATACATTCAGACTGGCACCGCGACGGCAATTTCGAGGGTTCGTATACATTGGGCGTCTTGTGTGAACGCCGGGAACCGCCGCGTGACCCACTTGCTTAAACGCTAGCGAAATAATATTCCGTCGTTGCGAAGAGGGGAGACGCCTGGCGTCGCCATATATAGGGTATCCCGTGTCGACATCGTGTGCCTGCTAATGACAGATTTCTTAACGAATTGAATTTACGTGTGGTTTTGCAAAGCAAGAATTTGATGGAAGACTTCCTCGTCGCAGAAAGTCTTTCAATTTTCGATATTAATTCAATGTTAATTTTAATTTTCAATGTTAATCTCAGCAGTGGACCAATTTTCAATGCTCCGTTTAATATTGTTTAGTTTTTACATTATATTTATATATTTATATATTTATACATTTTTTGTATATTTTATTTATATTTTTATAAATTTAATTATCGAATTGAAATAAAGATTGCATTAAATGGGACATCAAGAAGAAACTTAAGTGTTTATATTAATATTTATTATTATATATATATGTTTTTAACATATTTAATATGTACATCAATCATCAAACAATAAAAAATTATAGACGATAAAAATGATCAAAATAAAAAATCGAGATATCCACTGTTAAATACGAATAGTAACAGCAACGGGACTTGTATGTATTCAAGGCTGAATTGTGTCAGGGAACTGAGAAGAAAAGCGTGATGCGTCCCGCTCCAGTGCAACGAAACGTCGACGAGTCTCGTCGTCACGATGCATACGAGCGACTTGGTTTGCATGCCAATAAACGTCGTCGGCCGAAACTTTTCGCTGCGACCGCAATACCTCCAGGACGCGAGCTATTCAACAGCAGAATAGAATAATACTCTTTCGAAAGAACGGTCCGCGTTCGCAATGCCCGAGTAGCTTGCTATTGATACGGTCTGACGATGACTTAAAAGCTGCAAGCAACAATACGTAATAGTACATAATATTTGATGACTATTAAAAATACAAACTACGTAGATCACAAAAATAACACGCAACACTTATTTTACTTCGCGGAAAGAATTACGCATCTTCCGCACTGCGTCTTTCATACGGAATCCGCCGATCCGCGTCCAATTTCTTCGAACGGTTTTTTTCATCGATTCGGAATTCGCACGTTCTCCGAAAAAGCACGCGTAAACTGGACGCATTCCATCCCTAAGCGGGGCGCGCGTAACCACTCGCCTCCTACGTCGTGACTCACACGAAACATTTTGAAACACGGTCACGTTTTGGCAAAAACAATACATCTTATTGCCGAGTGTAGGCAACCCCGGGAATTTGTCGTAATCGACTGACGTGCCACTTCCGATTTCTGACATAATTATCGCATATTTTTCGCTCCTTCACTCAATTATCCCGAAAAAGTTAAAGTTCCTAGGTTTAGAAAATACGCAAACTCTCCATCATTTTGGCTCGAAGACGCGACTATATTCGAATTTATGTGCAGGGCTGGGCATGTATTTGAAATACTTTTATTTAAAACACACTATTTACAGTATAAGCGTATTTTGTATTTTTTATTTCAGCGTATCACATAAAAGTATTACGTATTTTGTATTTAAAATCGAAAGATTGAAAGCTTTTTGTATTTTGTAGTTCAAATAATAAGATTGATTTCAATGTTAGTATTTGAAATACAAAATACTTTTATATCCTCCGATGAAACACAAAATATTTTCATGTACTTCTAACAAACACAAAATACAAAATATAATTGTCTTATCAATATTATTTTTCAAATAAATGTATTTCAAATACATGCCCAGCTCTGCTTATGTGTTTGTATTTGTATTTATAAATTTACACAATGTGTATATGTACATTATTCGACGTCTTTTGGCTTAGGAATAAAAGACCTCATTACGGAACTTCATTAATTTAGTCTTTACAAAAGAGTCTTACAAAAGTGTTCTGTTTATCACCAATAAACAATCACGATTTCAACGATCAACTATTCAATGATTCAACTATTATTAGTGCGAAAGATTTTTTGTTAGATCCGCAAAGATAAAGTTTAAAACAAAGTTACAGCAAAGTCAAAGCGAAATCATTGTATCTCACTAACTTTAATAGACTCTACTTTTATCTAAAAAAAAAAAAAAAATTTTTTAATCATTTTTTCAAAGAACTCTGGATTTCTAACCTAATTTCTAACTTGTTTAATACAGAATTTAATTGAGAGACGATAAAACTTTTGCTTCAACGCAATACTTGAAAATCTCAAAATAAAGTATATTGAATCACGCGAAGAGATTTATGTGTTAACTCTATGAAAAATAATTTCATCAGCTCTAATGGACAGGGTAGTTTGTAATTCGCTGATGGAACGTCCCGCCTCCAATTCCTGTTTCTATTTCTGTTGCGTTACATGGATAATCTTGTAGGTACTTATCAAGGCCAATGGCTCCGCGGCATGCGGCACGGTTACGGGGTGAGGGCGAGCGCGCCGTTCGGTTTGGCTAGCCACTACAAACCTCCAAAGCAAGTAAGAGCGTCCTTGACGTCGTTAAGGAGCGCCGACGGAGGACCAGCGGTCGCTCCAACGCCGGAACCCACCGACAGGAGGGATCGACGTGTAGACGACAGCCGAGGAGGATTCGTCCTGAAAGCCAGGAGCGACGATCCACCGGCTCGGAGAAAGAGCCTCACCGAAAAGTCCCTAAAGAAGGGCATTCTCTCGGTAAGGCACCTCTCTCGAAGAGACGAAGAATTGATAATGAGATTTTTTAACAGAAATTATCTAGAAGAATATTCTGTCAATAGGGTCTTAAGATACGAAAGCAGAGGAGTACGGGAGATTTGGAGAAACGTGGTACTGGTGGTAGTATTAGAAGTAATGCCAGCTCAGCGTCGTGGATGTCGACCGAGAGCTCACAAAGTCAAGCCTCGGCGTCGGTTCACACAGATAGTAATGCGTCCTTTGTTATCGAGGTGGGTCACGATATTTGTGTTCCTCAGCTTTCTCGCGACTCGACAAACCTCTAATCGGATTTTAATTTCGTTTCTGCGCGATCGTTAAATCCGCTTATTCTAATCGTATCAAGAGACGCATATAACGTTAATATTAGTAACTTGTAACATATATGTGGTATGTATTCTTGTAGTGTATAGATTTAAAATTAAAAAAAAATAAAAGAATTAGCAAAACGTAGTTAATCGCATGATGTCGATTCGCAGGATGAACAGATGGACGCGTCGGTAACTGAGACGTACTTGGGCGAATGGAAGAACGATAAGAGAACCGGCTTCGGCATATCTGAGAGAAGCGACGGGTTGCGATATGAAGGCGAATGGTTCAACAATCGCAAATATGGCTACGGTGTCACCACGTTCCGTGACGGCAGCAAGGAGGAAGGAAAGTACAAGAACAACGTGCTTATCACTAGCCAGAAAAAGAAGCACCTCTTCCTAATCAGGTCCGCCAAATTCCGTGAAAGGATAGAGGCGGCAGTGAACGCAGCTCAGCGGGCGAGCAAGATCGCTCTGCAAAAAGCCGATATCGCTATCTCTAGGACGGCAACGGCGCGGGGTAAAGCGGAATTGGCCGACATCGCCGCCGAACACGCCAGAGAAGACTCCGAACTAGCGCAACAAACAGCGAGGCAGTTCGCACCGGACTTCCGGCAGCCGGGTTTAGAAAGGTTGCGGAACAGAGAGATACCCAAGTACGTTCCGCCGCCACAGGATTCCATGCCGGGTAAGAGTATCCTACATAAGACAGCCAGCGTGGACCAACCCAGCGGCGCCACACCGATCAAGAGCGCCGTTGACTCCACAACGACGACGATGAACGCGACGCCAGCATCCGCAGCGAACAACACCGTCAGCAATGTGATGCAATCGATACGTAGGACCAGTGTAAAGCCTCTGCCGCAGAATCAGCTGCCTATGCAAAACCAGATACCGAATCAGGTACCGCTGGCGAACCAGGCACCCATGAATCAATTGAACACTCAACAAACCTCGCTGACCGGTCAGAATCCGTATCAACAGTATCCGTATCAACAGCAAAACCCGATGAGCCAGTACTCGAACAGTATACCGAACCAGTACCAATCGAATCAATACAGCCAGCAGCATCACCAGTTCGTCCAGAACAATCCGTACCAGTATCAACTGACTAATCCATCTCAGGTTGAGCAACAATACTCCGATTATCAACAACAACAGCAACAACAGCAACCAATCGGATTGCACGATTTCCAAAATTTGCAGGCTTATCCCAGTCAGCAGGTGACTCCGATAGCAATATTATTCTCATTGATCTTTCTTGGCTTCCGCGCACGCAGCTTTTTATGCGCGATAATTCAATTTACTGATTACGATTTACCGAGCGCTTTCGTTTGCCTATGGCAATGCTATATTTCTCTGTGTGTATGGGTGTTTGTGTTTCTTTTTAGATCTCACAACCGACATTTATGTATAATTCCATGACATTCGCCCAAATAAATTAATTTGATGCGCAGTTTTATGGTGTAAGCAACTCAATGAATTTCTATACATGCGAGTTTAGTTTCATCGATGAATTTAACATGCGTTTAACAAGTGTAGCTATATTAATGACTAATTATCAACAATCTTAACGTTTAATTATATTCCTTTATCATATTGTTCTGAATGATGATAATTAGTTCAGCTACGAGTGACACTTTTAATTTTGGTTGAAAATTAATGGATTGAATAGCCAAATAGAAAGTCATTGTTTCTTCTCTGGACGTGTATAATTAATCGTCACACGATGAGCCTGCAAAATTTTGGTAACCTCTAATAATGAAATGTCGAACAAATACAAGATTTTTCGACATCAGTATCGCTCATCTCAGAAATATAGATAAAAATACTAGATACGTTTGAGTAACATTTTGAAATATGATCCAGCCATGTATTTGTTCGGCTTGTGATTAAAATTAGTTTGTAGTTTTTTGTGAAACCCTTAGAACAACGTGAACTAATTTCAGACGGCGATACCCAATCAATATGGGCCTGGTCAGATGAATCAGTACAATTCACAGTCGATGTACGCACAACAAACGCACCAGTCGCAATATCAGCCTGATAACATCATGGATGCAGCAAGGCCGCCGAGCTCCACGAGTTTACGAAGAAATAGTAGAGTCCTGAGTCCTCAGGATCGACCTGGCATTATTGGTCAAACGCTAAACGATAGGTTCGACGTGTTCTTTTTATACAACTAATATACATAGCAATTTAAAAAGATGTGATTTGATATTTTTAAGAAATTTTCGATATAACTTTTGTACAACTACATCGTAGTTGTTTGAAATCGAATTTAAGATGAATCGTTATTGCACAAAGTAAAATATTTTTTATAGATTACACACCTTTTTTAGATTGTCGTTTGAGATTATAATTGTATGACAAGTTGAGATTTTAAGCGCTTAATGTGTTGTAGGCTGGATCACTATAAGAGACCACCTAGTCGCGACAGTTCTGTAGATCGTTATGCCAGAGCGCATTCCCGGTTGACTGGATCGAGACAGCCATCCGTCGACAAAACCATATCGAATCCACCTCCGGAGATGCTCGATAGGTGAATAACATCTAAATCGACATATCGATTGACATTCGAAAATATTTATTTTGTTTACCACCTGAGACCGTATATGCATCATAATTCAGCGAAAGATCTAAATTAAAGCCTGCAGTGCTTGTTTTCCTGCTGGATGGCTTGCGTTTCGGTAAATTACTAAAAATTCTGCGTTCTGTGTGTGTGGTGTAATTCTATAGTAATTTAGTAAAACGCAAACAATCCAGCAGGAAAATAAGCATCAAACAAGCAGTGTGCCGCAGGCTTTAGAGTTGCATTCAAAAATTTGTAGAGTATCATAAAGGCTATGGCAAAAAATTTTAAACAACATTTTCGATTTGCTACTGCTAATGTTATCGCCTTACGTTCTCTACCATGATTGACCAATTTGCTTACTGCTTAAATCTTTTTATAGAACTATCCTAGTTCCTTGAAAACAATGATTTTGCAATCGGCAGATCGATGAGAGCCCCAAGCGCGATACGAGGAGGAACGCCACTGAACGGATCCGTGATAGGCAGCGGCGCCGCGACGCCGACATACGCCGTACCAACTCCTAACCAGTTTGAGGGGGCTCTCATAAAAAACCGTAGCCTTGGACAGGACATTCTGCCGAGTCCTGGACAGCCTAAACGCATTATTGTGCCGAAGGTGAGTCCTTATTTTCTTACGTGCATTTGTTCTTTTTATCCATCTTGTATATACATATACATATATATGTGTATATGTATATATAGACATATCCTCGCCATGTGCATATATACGTGCATCCATACATTCGTTTTGTACACCGAAGACGTCTTGGCACTTACGTCATTCACCTCGAAAAAGAATTTACGAATGTGCCGATTCTACAGATATCTGTTCTACAGAACTACAGATATACAGATAATTCTCATCCTTCAATATTGTGATTGAGTGTTGTTTTAATATTCATAGACAATATATTGACGTTCCGAGTCAGATAGAAATTTCCATAGAGGATTCTGACATCTCGTGCATTGACGTCATCGGACAGACAGCATTTTTAAATTTTATTCATCCTATGTAAATATTATTATTCATTATATTTCTACCGTGCGTTGCATCGACGTTTCAAGAGAATTAATGCCACTACAGTATCTTTTTAATGTTATTCACTTGGTGACGTTCATTTTTTTGAATGATTTTAAATTTTCCATTCGGATGAAATTTTGATGTCGATTTCTCGTGAATGAAAAAGATCCGAGGAAATATAATGCAATTCGACAATTTGTTTGGCGTTCACTCTGCCAAGAAAGGAAACGGGACACCTCTTTCCAAGACTAACTTCGGAAATAACTTCGACGGTCATTATACGTTAAACAAGATAACAATCGTTCGACATTACGTTGATTTCCAAGAAGATATCGCACGTACAAGTCGAACGATATTAAATTTAAATTTTTCTCGCAACAGAAAATGACTGATAGAATATTTGACAGAATTAATAGAATTAGTGCACGCTGTTTTTTCAAAGTCCAATTAAAAGTCAATCTTTTAAATGTTTCTCGTTTCATATTATTCGAAGATTTTGATGAAACGATTCTCAGCCAGAAATGATTGGCCGTCGAATCGATACTGATTCAACGTTGATCGACTATTCATTTCTGGCTGTGTTGTATAGAAAATCGTCATAAATTATAATATAATAATCTCCGGTCAGTTATGAATAATAACGCAAGATTATTCATAATGACCAGCGGTTATATTATATCGTACATAATCTTCCAATAACTAGAAATTATCATAAAGTGACATCAAAAATACGTTATATTAGCTTCATATGTCATTCTCTGCTGCGAGAATTCCAAATATAACAATTCCGGAATTATTTTCATAAGCCCAAGTTTTCATCTCGCCCATGTTTAAACTTGCATTTTTTTATTACGATATATTTCTTGCACCTCGCCTGCGTTCTCGACCCCCATTCTCTCCCCGTTTTACCTCGTTCAGATTTTTCTCACCATATTCGCCTCTCTTATTATCTAGTTTACCTTACCTATCTGTATCTCTTCTCTTCTCTGTCTCTATTTGTCTCTCTGTGTAACTGTGTGGCGTTTTGTGCTGTGTTCTGTGCATGCCATCCCAGGAAGCAGGCCGGACGGTCCCCGCCTTCGCCGCAACGTCAAAGGGCCGCGCAACCCTATAAGTATAAGTATAAAATATGTATACAGAGCGATGTTATGTAATAGCGGTTGGCAAGGAAGCGTAGCTTTCAATAGGCTAGCGTTGCATTTCGAGCCGAATCGGAAAAATAAGAAATCACGATTCGCGCAACCCCGATCGCCGTTTCCGCCCAACTCACCTCGGCATTGAATATTTCAGAACGAATTAAGTTCCGATAACCAATCTCGTCTCGGGGCAGTTTTAAACGCGCGCATTGACGATATTTTTCTATGAATTTACGAATCTCTGCATCGTCCGACATTACCTTAACTAACAGAGACGCGATTGCGAGGCTTGAGCGCTGTGTCTGAATAGTTAATTATGTTAACGCAGCTGTCAAAGCAGGCTCGCGAACAGAACCAATCTGTTCGATTCCCGTCGGACGGGACTAAATTTTCGCAATTTACGCATGTTCACCTGATATATGTTGAAAATGTGAGGTAGGTTTCCAGAGCGGGGCCTTATATGAAAATGAGAGAATTTTCTAGTAACGAACGTTTTTCGTGAAAAATTTTGGTGCTATGTTATGGGACGTAACGCTTAATGGAAAAGATATTTGTACCTGGTATAGATTGCTATTAGCTGTTAACTCGCCGCGATATCGAACAATAAAGACGCTCATTAATAGAATCGCGGTTGAAGGAAGCGCATTCGAAATGAGCAATGCATATTTATGGGAGACCGACTTATTTTTCTATGGGAACACTGCGAGTCTAGTGAGTGACACAATTTATTCACTCACGCGAACAATCTAGAATTATTGTCAATTTTTGATCATCAGCATTATTCCTGTAATAAATCCGTTTCGCAATCAACGTTTGGTAATAACGATTAATACTTCGTTATTGCGCAATGAATTGGAGGAAGATAGCATGTTTAATCCATTGGAGCTGATAAAAAGAACATGCATTTATTCCAGGATTAAATAAATGATGATCAAAACGTAGTCGACAAGAAATGGTAGAGCTTAAATATTTCCGAGGTATCTTAGATCGTGTTTCGTCTTGATCATGAAAGAAGATTGCTATCGTTAGGCAACGCTATTGAGAAACGGAATTATATGCTAAAGAGGATTAGCAGATTTCGCAAACCGCGCTTGAAAACGTAAATTGGCAACGACGATGTCGCCTCATTGTATCAATTCGAGATACGATCTGTTATGCTCATTGGGTAACGTGCGAGATCGCTGACGGACCAGTTCAACGAACAATAAATGTAACACTATGTACAGTTCCTTTCAGCAAGAGAGAAGAAGCAACTAAATGCCCTCCGATTTTTATTTTTTCTGCTCGGTACACTATGGTCAAATAAAATTATTAATACACGTATCTCACAAGGGAAGTTTCACAACTGTCCAGAACCGATTGGATTCTCCATGAAATATGTTGTTAAACATGAAAATCTAAGAGAGAGAGACACGTATTTTTTTATACGTGCGCTAACTCATTTTTAGTTTAAGGGGTGAAACACCCCTTTGAAAAAAAAAACGGTATTTCTATTTCGAGCCGAATACCGTCGGAAGTATAAAAGATGGAAAAAAATTTTTTTAACAAAACTTGGACGATTTCAAAAGTACTTTAATGTTGTGAAGAAAAAAAATTTTTTTAATTTTTTTGTTAACAATTGTTCCGACGGTATTCAGCTCGAAATAGAAATACCGTTTTTTTTTCAAAGGGATGTTTCACCTCTTAAACATGAGTTAGCGCACGTATAAAAAAATACGTGTCTCTTAGATTTTCGTGTTTAACAACATATTTCATGGAGAATCAAATCGGACAGTTGTAAAATTTCCCTTGTCAGATAAAACGCGAGTATATAAACTACCTTTACAAGCATAAACGGAAGTGTCTGTATATATGTACGATATATGTATATGTATAGATATTTGCACAGAAAAGATTATGCTAAAGCGGAGCAATATAATGCGAGTTGGCTCTCCACTTTGTAAAACGACAGAAAAAAATGAATCCTTGTTCGCGCACAATTCTTCTACATTATATGTGACATTCCGTTTTTTTTCTCTCTTTTTTGCAAATAGCTACTCGAATTAAGAATTAGGCAATCTACGTTAACTGCATGCGCACATATATGAATATAAACTCGTGCGCGGAGCTGAGTTAAAGCCGGCGCTCGCTAATTATTACGTGCATTAACCGCTAATTAACGGACTTTGGAAGGTAAGCCTAGCGCGCGGCGTGGAGGCGGGGACCATATTTTTGCTCTTCCATTCTATTTTTTAGCCCTCTTTAGCCATATTTTTAAGTCTTTTTCGACCCTTCTTCCGAGTCCTCTCGCTAGCCACCTCGCCTAGATTATTCGCCTAGATTACTCGACCGATCGATACCACTCAATCTGTACTCTCAGTCACTTTCAGATATGCTCTAGTTGAATTTTGCCATGCTATGTTCAAGCTCATAACCCAAATGGTCTTATATTTGATTTATCAAATATTAGTATTGCTATCACAGAGAGGGTAACTGCTAATTATTATCACTTGTCGAGATCGCAAATGTACGAGCTTTACGAGAGACTCATTTATCTACCACCTCCACGCCGCTTTTCTTTTTTCTGTTTTCTGATTGGAAACGTTGTTTTTCTAACGCATGCTTGTCGTGAATTCGAGTCTACATTTGGCGCCATGTGTGCACAGATAGAAACTTGTTAAAATGAAAGTAAATCATGGGGGAGACGTTCGATACGAAACGAGCCTTAAGCACGCAGGAGTCTAATTAAATCTACGATGTTAGTCGCCGTTGCCAATATACATATATATACAGATGTTATATTGTAGTACATTACTTGTTTCACGCACATCGCGCACGCATAAGAATCATCGCGTAGAATAATTTGCCGCCCACTGTTAACGCGAAGGAAAAGATATGCGCGAAATGCGAAAGCTTATTTTATATACCGAGAAACGAACGCTCTTGAGAAGAAAAAAAGAACTGGAAACGCGAGTTTTAGAACCGTCTGTGTCAAATGTATTTATACGCTAATGATTCTTTATACAGGAAAACGTCCAGATTACAGACGTTGAATATGTTCCGTGTAAATAAGGCTAATATTCGAATTTATGAGCATATGGTATGGCGAAATTATGTATGATAATAAGATTAAGAGCGGAACCTTTAACGATCGAATTTGCCAATAATACCTGTAACTGTGAGCCTAATTCTTAAATGGTCTATATAATCGGAGTATAAAATTCTAATTGATAGAAATTATATTGATCGCACAAACAAGATATTACTCTTTGAGAATTTTAATTAAACTATGAAGGAATACTCACTATATTTTCATACAGGACCGATTTAATGATATTTAATATATCTGCGTTAACACCTTAAGTCACAAATCATGGTTTCGACAATAACGATGGTTGCACAAAAAAAAGGAATGTAGCGAGGAAGAGTCTATGATTTGTGCGGGTACGCATAAAATGCAACAATATGATGCACAAGTGCAACTTTGAATGCAACATTCCCAAACAAACACTTGAATTCTGACTTAAGCCGTTAATCTACCCATGTGTTCACAAGTTACTCGCTTATGACGAATTTCAAGTATCGAATGCTGTTCGGCAAGAAGTAAGCACGAGAGAAACATCGACATTTCGTCAACGTTAAAAATAGTACTTTTCTCAATCTTGCACTCAAGTGCCAATCTTGCGATAAGCGTTGTTCTGTTTCCGACTTTATAAAAGCTTTTCTAGATATTTAACGAGTCAGATATAATCACGTTCTTATTTATAGTGTTACGCACAATTATTTGTAGATATGTAGCCATATAGATGTATAAGATCAGACAAGGCTCGAAATAGATAATATGCATATTCGCTAAATCTCCAGATTACATTCCGTGAGAAAGTCGATCTTAATGTAGAAACTGTACCGATTTTCGTTCACCAAACGACGACGTACGTTGCATTCGATGTACTGAATGTATTTATGTATATCATGTATAAGCTGTTGTTAATGACAGATTAAAGAGAGTATCGCGTAAATCGGACCTCTTACTGCCTTTATTGTCTATTGTCATTTTTTCAGAAAAGCTAATAAATAATAATGTTAGCATATTCGCCGAGACAAAAAATCGGTATCGAATAGGGTATTGGAAACGGTTAATGGCTGCTGAAGTATGTGCGTTTTACATGATAAAATATTAATATTTCAAGATTCAATTGAGCAATCGTAATATTCAAACGAGTTCTATGGAAATTGTGGGCAATATGTAGATTCACGAAGAAGACCGCGAACAATGAAGGCTGCGCGATTGTATGCAGTTCGTGAATGAGGCCATGAAAATTCCGGCTTTAATATTAATTACTTCATTATCATTTCTTTATTCTTATAATTTGTCAAGTTTCATTTGAGGTATAGTCGTACAACGTGCAAAAACATCACGGAAGCTTAAAAGTTACGGAATAATAACGTTTTCTTCTTCGTGACAAACCATTTATTAGTCGCCATTGTTTATTGTTGTGCTAATCCGATTGAGAATAGATAAATTTGTATCGATGTGAATATAACTGCCACCGTGAAAAAATATTACGTCATTAGCGTCATGCATTAATTAAATCGGATTAAACTATCGATTCGATAAGGGAACTGTCTGGAGGTAATCGAGCCATTAGCGAAGCAAATTAAACCGTTGCACTAGACCAGTCGAATTACTTCGCTGGGTACTAACTAATCTGCAACAACAGGCAGACTGCGCAACGCGATAAATGACAGACAAAGAAATTGCAAATAAGTGGGACGGACGTTTTCTTGGCGCACGAAAATCCCGAAATCTTCGCTGTATTATATATTCGCATGCCAAACGCATGAGTCAGATAATTTTCGGGTCTGGACTTGATTTGCGTAAGGCCGGAATCAGACTACGCATTGAATTTTTTTTTTTTTTTTTTTTTATTGAGAAGCAAAATAGCTGAAGTTATTTTGAAGTTTAAATTATTAAAACATTGTCAAAAAAAAGAGTTCAAAATAACTTCAGCTATTTAAGAAAAACTGGAGATTTGTAAGAGATTTGTCGAGAGAAACCGAATAATTTTGCCAACGTCAGTGAATCAAAAATAGTGGGTCGAATTTTGAAATTGGAGCATAATCTTTTCTCACGCCATATTCGCTGTTAGAAAGCAGCCTCGTAAATCAGTTGCGAGGATCGACAGGGTTCTGGCAGCGTCCCCACGCAGATCTCCGCGGGCGTCGCGACGCTCGGCGAAGTTATTTCAAAGATAGTGGGGCATCGCTCTATTTCGGTCGTGCTAGCCAGGGCCGTTCAGTCTTCGGCCCGGCTTCCTTACCGGGAGGCTGCGAATTCGTAATTTACACTTCGATATGCCCCCTTTCGTGCCTGGAAATCGTCGAAAAATGGCCGAAAGATAAGCGAACGGGTTTCACGCTCGAATGCGAACACACGCTCGTGCAGTTTCAAAAGACATTTCCGGTCGAGAAAGAGGCAAAGAAAAAGAAAGCTCGGTGTGAACGGAAGCGCCATTTGGCTCGATTATTGCTTCCGGGATAATCTTTCGAATTTAACGTGGATTCGAAAAAAACAGTGTTCGCTTGGTTTCATATCGACGTATAAAAGTGACAATCTAATGAAAATTATTTAACAATTGACTGTAAGCTCTTTAATCACGATCACGATACATAACACGGACCTGGTCTATATTTGCAAATAATATCGATCATATATACCGTCAATCGTATAAAAAATCCCGTAATTGAAGAAAACTGTACGTATCAACGTCAAGAGCTATAAGTTCGTTACATTTTAAAGAAAAATTTATGAAATCAACAAGTACATGTACGAAACAAAAGTGCAATTTAAAAAAAAAGAAAAATTTTTAAACCAAGCGAACGGGAATGATTTTCTTCTTCGCGGGTGGTTAAGAACTCGAAAGATTTTAATGTATTCTGAGGGTGTCCACAAATTATCGTGAGAACAGAAATGTTTTGGATCGAGACGGACGAGGAGGAGGAGGCGTTGCTATGCAGCCCCGCTCTGATGGCCAGGCGGGCCTCGGAGTCCTGGATCGTAGCACCTCCTGTGGAGGTACGCGAGGCAAATTCACGTTCTAACATTTTAATAACAAAAAGTTAAGCAATGCGTAAAAGTTCATGCAGGGTGGGCAAACAATTTCTTTGGAATTTTCTTCTAGAAGAACATACGGGACGAAGATGAGGGAAAAAAACAACGCAATAGATAACGAACTGGGGGAAACGTTGTTTGCTCGCGCGGTCATTAGGGGTGGAATCATCTGTGCTTAGCGACAATGAAGCACGCTCGATGAAGTGTAGAAGGGTGGAGGGTTTACGAGTAGAACATGTCGTAATAAACGAGTATAGTTAGCAAACACAATAGATTGCATAAATATAGCGTATAGAAAAAAAACGTGTGGTCTTACTTAACTGCTGTTCTTATTTAAGAAGATTACAAAAGATATAAGGACATGCGATATGCGAAAATATTTAATGCGAGACAAGAGGCTTTTTGCAATGTCGCAATTTAATATGCATGACTTATACAAGGTGTTAAAAAATAAGATTCAAAAGTTAGAGAACAGATTCGCGATAAATTGAGTAAAAAATGACTAGAATCGATCTATACAAAAATTTTTATGAATCTCTATGCCGTTCTTTAAAAAAATGCAAGTTATATATATATATGTATTGATCAAACTAAAAACTTTTAATCATACTTATTAAGTCAGTTCGTGCTCTCTAACGATAAATATTTGATTCTTGTTTTAACATCCTGTATAAATTACTCATGAATGTATTATTGCGACAAGAAATAGAACGTATACAATTATGCAATATTTAGAATTTATTGGCTAATTTGCCACATACAATGTTTAGAACATCACGCGACGCGTACGGAATTTTTTTATAACGGTAATATGAATGAATTTTCGTATAAAAAAGGGAGTTCTCGGCTGTAATTCAAATTACTTTTTTATAGTTATTTACTTTTTTGCTCGAAGTCTCATTTAACAGATATGTAGTTTTTCCTTAGAACTACAATCTTTGAAAAGTTTATTTAGTCGTACAATAAGAATGTGAAGGTCGATACAACGAGTCGTTTTAGGGTTAGACCCCTCGGCCTTGTACCTCTCTCAGTGCTCGAAAACCTCGTCTCTCTTAGGTTTGGAACGGCTCCAAAGACCTTCCCTTCCGCTCGTGCTCTATCTTTCTCCTCGCCATCCGTTGCATTCGCATGAAATGCTGAATTAATAAAACACGTAATTACGGGAATTCGTTGCTCTAATATGCAGCCGATTTTGAATCGGTTTCGTGAAAAATGCTGCTAGGATGATAGAATTTTGAGAAGGACTTAACGAATCGTGATTAATATAATTCTGTGACCAATACTGTGATTGACTGCAGGTAGAAGATTGAACAAAAAACTCAATTGTCTGAATAGTCAATAGTTTAAAATTCAATGGTAGTTTCATGGATCGATATAAAACAGAGCTGTCTAACTTTTGACGTCACGTAAGCGAACAGAAATTCGAACAAGAGAAACGCTGGTTTATGTTTTATACAGTTCTGATATAAAACAAAAGCTTCAACAAATACAATGGAAACATGTTAATAATCTTGAACAGAATAGAGCACAAATTAAAAGAGTTTTCTCATTTTCTAGAGTGTAAAAGATAAGCAATTTTGCGAATTTAAAAGAAAAATGTTTACAAAAATAAAATTCTTTAAATACATTATACAATTTTCGCTTCATTAGTTTTCTTGATTCTCAATCAAATGCTTATAACTTCAATTTTGTAAATATGAACGACATACTTTGCAACATATATTTAAGAGTTAAAAATATTTTATGAACGACGCGAAAAGGTGTAAATTAAATTTTGAAATTATAAATCAACAAATCCTTGTACATCACATGTTCACGAAACCGATCCTCAAACGTTGGACTTTATTAAAAATAGATGTTTAATTAAAATAACCAATATGTTACCTTACCTAGTTATATTACTTAACGTTATTCCCTGTAAGAAGTATATTCAGAAGTATAATTGCTATTGCTTGACAATAACTCCGTTTTTCTCTTTCCGTTGTATATCCGTTTGATGCTATATAAGATGTTAAGGCAATGTACATAATGTCGATAAGTAATTCGCGTCCGTCGTAACTCGAGGCCCATCTCTCTTTTTGTTTCTCGTTTATTTCCTTCGTGCAGGCGATGCCGGTAGCGGCAATGCCCCTTCAACGAAAGAAGTCACTGCCGAACGTGGCGCAGCCGATCCAGCTCACGGCCACCTCACCATTGTCGAGGGAAGAAGTCAGTATTTTGAGCAGTATGAGGAGAGAGGAGATCCGCAGGCAAGTCGACGAGAGCGAGAGGCTCAGAGCAAACCCGCTTTTGTACCTGGTCAGTCCGCAGGTTAAAGTGAGTATCCTCCGTGTTTCTACCTGACCGTCGAAACTATTATCGATGTTGACAATGGCGCGGCATCAATCCTCGCCGTTACAGAAACAAGTGAAAACACGGAACGGCACTTGGCAGAGTGTTACGGTTTATTTCGGATCAAGTCCTGTGCGTCTCGACTTGCTACGCAAAAATATAACGCACCATGAGAAACGCGACGATTCTATAATAGGTTCTCGCGCGGTTCTCCAAATCAGCATCCGCTTGGTCCAGTTTCGCAATCGCGAGTCGCGAGTAGACCGAATGAAATTACTTTCGTGCATGGATCTCAAGATGATGAATAAAATATTTTATGCTTATTCTACAATAGCCGTAAGCGTAGTTGTAATTGGTTGTAGTTGTAAGAATTGATCAATCAAGTGGAATATGAGGAGAATATTCAAGTGTAATTGGTCAGTTCTTGCAACTAAAACCACTTACAACTACACTTACGATTATTGTAGAACAGGCATGAAGGATCATCTACATTAGGAGTAACATTGTGTAGTAAAATGTAAGCCGTAAAAAATCGACTAATTACTATTGAATGTAAGAAGAATAATTGACTTACCGCGAAAGCTAAATGGCTCGCGATAAGAAAACTAATAATGTAATATTCCGTACTGTTCCAGGACTGGTTCTCCCGTCAGCAGCTCGTGATGCTGGTGCTCTTCATCAACATATCCCTAGCTTTGATGTTCTTCAAACTGCTGACGTAGCAGCCAGCCGACGATCGGGTTCACGGACTCGTGAACGTGGACGTGACCTGAGACCCGGTGGTGCCGCGACACTTTGGGTCGTTACCGAGCCAGAATTTCGAAGGGAAACGGCAATGTGGCCGCACAAGAATCGCCAAGAATCGCCGGGAATGGCTTTCACCAGCGGTTCATTCAGTCTTACGCGCCGCGGGCGCTACGTTAAAAGAGGAAATCTTTGAATCGAGACCGACGAAAAGGAGAGACTCGAAGAGGATTATTCTCGGCAGAGATTTTGTCGCGCGAAGGCGACCGTAGTCGAATTTTGAGCGATCGCGAAAATCTAAGTAGACAAATAAATAGAGGGAGCAGCATTGAGACGAGAAAGTATCTCCGAGGTATTGTCAAGGGGATTTAAAATGGATTTGCCTTTGAATATTGTAAATTAAAAAGGACTTAAGCTTCAAAAAAAGAGAAAAGGAAAAAGAATAACAATAATTTGAAAGAATTTGAATGGTGAATTGCATTCTTGAAGGTCTTTTGTAAAATAAGAATACACCTGTCTATGGCAAGAGTTTTCTGATGAAGCATTTTAGACGTTTGCCGCTTAAATCCTTTTTAATTGGCAGACTAATATTTATTGGACAAAAATTTTTGAGAAAAAAAAACGATGAATCTCCTAAGCGCAGTTTGTCATTTGCGCGAGAGGCGTTACATCGACAAGTCTTTTGGAAACGGGAGGCGCTGTGTACTCCCGACGCCTGTGTATCATACCTATTTTTACACCAAATACTTTAATAACGCTACTTGTAAGAGTAGGTCGAGCCCTTTCGGGCGGGCCACCGATCGATCGTATCCGACATACGAATCTTCTTCTCTAGTCATAATTTTCTCTTTTCCGACGATCGGCTCGAGCGCAGTAATAGCGACGATCGAATTGTACACAATCGACTTTTTAACGAGTCAGCCGCTTGTCGACCACTTCTAATTAAGGCTGGCGCTGTTGAATTTGAAGCGGTACTCAGGTCGAATTATCCGAATCGTACTTACGGCTATTTCCTTAAAAGTAGAGATTGTTACTTAGCAATGATCGTAATTGTAGCCGTGGTGCCGTGCGCGTAAAGATTCGTTAACGCGCATCCGAGCATTTATAGCGTTCCACAACGATTACGGTAAACTAAGGCGTAAGTTTATTATAAACAGAAGAGAGACATAGAAAAGTTGTCATAGTCGTCGAGCTTTTACGAACCCTGCGGGATTATAGTTACAATTACTATCGTTGAATGTCGATGATTGAGATTTGAATCCATCGAACGGTATCTTGTCTAGAATTACGAAGTTTCCCGATAGCGAAATGTGTCAACCTGAATGTGAACCTGCGCACACAAGTTGAGAGAAACGTTTTCGCTACGAATATGAATGAAGGCCGAAGCGCAGCACTTATAAATAACGCGTAATGCATAAAGCATAAGAAAACTGATCAGAGTCTTTCATTTAATGGAAAGGAAGGAAATTATGGATTTTGATTCATTTTTTATACATTATGCGTTATGCAAGACTGTGCTTCCGCCTTTTGCTTTCAGTGAGAGATCGAAGGTTGACGTGCGCTTGTTTTTCGTCAACGCGAAGAATTGACGTTGTTTTTCCTGAAACGCTTTTTACATTCTACGGGTCTGAGCACAAGAATTGTTGTAACACTTACTTATGCGAGATCTACAACTCAATTAGACTGAGGGTCTGAGCACAAGAATTGTCGTAACACTTACTTAGACTTAAATTGTAGGCGTAAGTAACGCACAAGCTTTCACGTACAACTTATTGCCGTGTCTCCAAGAGACCGCTACGACTTCTATTATAGATCTCGCATTAGAGACTTAATTTGTAGACGTAAAGATCTGAGCGCAAGAATTGTCGTAACACTTACTTAGACTTAAGTTGTAGACGTAAGTAACGCACAAGCTTTCCCGTATGACGTACAATTTATTACCGTGTACGTCATACGCCAAAGCTTGTGCGTTACTTACGTCTACAACTTAAGTCTAAGTAAGTGTTACGACAATTCTTGCGCTCAGACCTTTACGTCTACAAATTAAGTCTCTAATGCGAGGTCTATAATAGAAGTCGTAGCGGTCTCTTGGAGACACGGCAATAAGTTGTACGTGAAAGCTTGTGCGTTACTTACGCCTACAATTTAAGTCTAAGTAAGTGTTACGACAATTCTTGTGCTCAGACCCTCAGTCTAATTGTAAGAAAATATTAGCGCTGAAAATGCGAATGATTCATATCGTAATAATCGCGCGCACGCAATCACGATAACATTATTCAATGAGACGCAAAATCGCAATCTCTGTACATACAAGTGATTCTTATCGACTAGTGTCTGCCGGGCGTCAAAATTAGAAGCAGATTAAACACGACTCTCGATGAAATCTCGCGGACGTCTCGCGGAAGAAGATGATCACTCCGTGAATATTATTCGAGACATAAAACTAAGTATCAAACGCTCTTTGATCCACGATATCGGCGGTTCGCTGACGTTTATCTCGTATTTCACGAAAACGCACAAATCGCGAGAGTTTATCTCTCGTATTCCTTCTCCTCACTATTTCGCGACAGATCGACGATCGGCCTTCCTGCGCTCGAACGACCGTATTTTTTCTAGCCTCGAGGGCATAGCTTGTATATCTCTAGGTAAATTTGTAAATAATCGTGTAAACGCCGATTGTGTGCGATTGCAGACTTTGTTCACATTACGCGATACCGTTCTCGCGCGATCTCGGATACAATTTGGCCGGAAAGCGAGGACCACCGAAAGTCGAGATCACCTTTTAACTCGAAGGATCTCGTTTTGGTTCATAACGAAACTAAGCTTCTCTCTTATTCCTCTGCTTTGACAGTGCCAATGACGTAGCCAGTGTACTTCCGCGAGAATAAATTTGATCGGCGACATATGCATTCGCGTTCAAATTATGCTCCGAATCCGAAAATCTTGGTTCAAGCGCGAACACGTGACTCGAAGTCGATATGCGTTCGATCGAGATGCAACGGGATGATATTTTCGACTATCCATATTGAAACTGTAAAGAGCACAAAAAAACAAATTGTTTTTGTCATTTCGTTAGGCAAATCGAACGAATCCGTTTACAGGATTACAAAATTAATGTTGGATTTACGTTTGGCATCTATCTCTCGATGCACGTTTGTTTCTGACTGTAACGTGGTTGATTTATTATTAAATAATTTCTTTCTAATATATTCAATAATAAAACAGAACATTAAACTGAGAGAAATATCGAAAATGTCAAAAGTAAAACTAGCATAAAAAACGCGCAAAACATTCTTAAGAAAAATAGAGTCACGTAGGCAAAAAGAACCGGAAAAAGGACGCATAGAGGCATATGAAATAAGTTGAATGTTCCAGCTTAAAAGAGAAGGACCGATGGCTTTTTGTCACAAGGTGCATTCGCATAGATACTCTACCTATTACGCACATTCGCCGTTGCGGGTCATGCATTGTATATATATTGCTATTATATATATAAAATTTATTAGTTAGTTAGTAACCGGAGAGAAACTAGAAAAGATTTGATATTGAACGTTGGGGGAAAACATCCATCGGGAACAAGGGTTGGAGTCGAGAAAGGAACGAGGCGGAGGTAATTTTTGTCACCGAACAAATCATATCACTTAATCAAAGGAAATTTACGCGATTCGTATTGTTTTATTTATCGAATGGGGAAATTTATTTCGCAATTTACGGTACGATATCATAATATTATGATCTCGTATATACATACATAAGAGCATATGTATATTTTACTTGTTATATCTCATGACTATTATCGTAATTAGCGCGCATATCCCGTTATTATTGTATATTATCATCATTATTACTATTATATTATTAATTATTATTTGGATTATTATCATTATTATTGTTATTATCATGTCACCATCCTATTGGGAAAAAAAAATACGAATATTTAAAACAAAACATGAACGTGGGAGAAATTTTGGTACTTTGGAAAATATGCGATAATGGAACCTGAGGCCCATTGCCATTGTTAATTTGCGCAAGCAGTGATTCAATAAACTTGTATCATAACAGATAAACGTTTCTGGTAATTGATATCACGATACTTCGTTTTGCTATGCCCGGATAGTTGTCTTTTACGTCGTAAAAGCAAAAGAACGTGAACGAGATCGATGACTTAATTGCCACAGTGACACACACAGATTTCTCGTGTAACCAAACGATCGAGAATACACAGAGTGGATACACTTTCTATTATTCCTATACGTATAATATGTAGGCATATACGTACACACATGTACGCACACATACTTTCTTTCCGAAGCCTCGGGTGAAAATCGCAACGAAACCGAACGATGATTTACGTCGTAAACATGCAGAGTGTGCTAATCACGTTCGTTAAAATAAATATTTTCTCGCACGTATACGACGCACGTGTCAAATTGGCATTGTTTACAAATTGAACGAATCAAGAACTTCGGATCTGCGTAGTTGTCGAAGCCAGTCGGAGAACGCAAACAGAGTGTTGTGACTTTAAGGTGATATTTTGCAATATGAACGTCATCATGTTGTCGGCAAATATAAACAAATGCCGTAATTAAAAATGCTTACAGTAGCAACGTAATTTTCTCGGTTGAAAAACAACTGAAGAGAGACGACTTCCGGAGAATTACAAGGAATTTACATCGCTAACACGTTGAGACGTCTCAGGGAACGGCCTCGAAAACGGAAACGTTTTCCGCGCTGGTTAAAACCGAATCAGTCACGAGGATCGGCACGGCAAAATTGAAAGTAAATCGGCGATGCATCCTTCCACTGCGTGAGCATGCACATGATGTCGCTTTTTGCGCGATCGTGCTGTTGCGTCATACATCGAGTGAGACTGCGTCTGTAATACGCATCGTCTATTACCGGTGTCAACGTCATTCGAGTCGGCGAGTATCAGGCGAAACGTGATCGCTTGTCAAACGAAGGATAGTTTCAATGAATAATAAAATTTAATATCGACTGCGAGCATAATCAGTGAGCAACGATATTTTTATTTAATGCAGTTTTTCCAAATCGTGGAAAGAGCTTAAATTATGAAAAAACGCAGGTAATTATACAGGGTGTCCCGAAGTAAGTTTTTGCCAATCACTTTTGTGTAGATAAAGCGGACTAAACTGAGTCGAAAAGTCCTCTAGCATTTTGCAATTTTTGCAATGATTAACGAGATATTAATTACTAACAATCGCTGAATATTGGTTTTCAATAATTTTTTATTCAAATACTATCAACTTTACAGAAAAATAGCGAGAGACAAAAATTTTTTATTTTCTTCTCATAAAGTTCTGAGAATTTTTTCAGAATTTTTTTCAGAATTATTTAATACCGTATTTTCTCAAGTTGGTAAGAATAAGAAAATGCAGTAGATAAAAAGTTGATAAAAAAATTCTGAAAAAATTCTTAGAGTTCTATAAGAAGAAAATAAATGATTTTTATCTCTTACAGTTTTTCTGTAAAGTTGATAGTATTTGAATAAAAAATTATTGAAAACTATAATATTCGGTAATTTTTAATAATTAATGTCTTGTTAATTATTGTGAAAATTGCAAAATGGTAAAGGACTTTTCAACTCAGTTTAGTCCGCTCTATCTACACAAAAGCGATTGGCAAAAACGAGATATCCTGTATAGAACTCACGATAATCGGATATGTTGTATATGGAGGATCTCGTTTGTACTTTTTTGGACAAAGTAAAAACGGAAACTCGAACTAATTCAGATATACCCTCTGAATGCGGTTCATTTGATGTTAAAAACGCTTCGAATCACATTAGCACCTTAGTCCTGTTGACCGCGTATACCTGCTGCTCAGAAAGAAGCATGTCATCAATTTTCATTTTTTGAATGCAGCTGAATTGAATGTGGTAACTATCAGTAGTTTTCAATATTCCAACGTTCCTAGAAGACAGTATACCTAAACTCGGCCTTATTTTTGAAACATCTGGAATTTAAGTTAGAGTAAAAGAATGGTCTGTCTTTAAAATTCGTTCGGGGCATGAAAGTTAAACTAACAAAAAGTCGGTTTCGGCAACCTCGTGTTTGCAGTTCTAGAAATCAGTCCTTCCACAAGTTGGCTGCTGTATGCTCGACGAGCACATACAGTGATAATGCCGAAATATAATATACTTTAATTTTAACCGTTAAACAAGAACAGGTGTTGCAATCTTATCGACTAAGACGTACAACGACTGCGACGAGACATGGCTGGAAGAGTGTTTGATCAGTTCGTCCTTAACTCACAAAGTTGTTTTAGCTCAGACATGTTACGTAACATTTCTAATTTTAGGCGATATTCGTTTACCAGTTCTCGTATACGTAGACACGATCATCCGGTCTAAGATTTATTAGTATCCAACTGACAAGCTCAAATAAACTGCGTTTATATGCAAAAGCGAATTATTACCGTTTTTGTCTCGAGTTTCAATCATTTCGGAATTTATAATCTTGAAAATTAATGTTTTTTAAAAATATTTAAATAAATTGTAATTGCTATTTATAGATTTCACTGAATTCTATTTAAAAGATAAAAGCATTCATCTCTTCAACCAACAGGTAAGTACATGCGATCGGTAAAGAGAATTTAGTCGAATTTGGATTC